TGTAAAATATATATGCCGATTATCTTTGTTTGATAATATTATGAAAACGTGAGGGGAAAACCCATCATTTCTTTAGCCGGATGCATGAGGCAGAGGAAATAAAAAAGAAATATATAAATATTGCTTTAAATTTTTTTTATTTCCAATACTTTCATTGTGTTAACAAAATGAAAGGCTATATAAAATGCATTACATGACAAGATTCACGTAGAAGAAATTATAAGTGATTCGTTTCTGGCTTATCATTCAAAAGGGGGAACAAAACAATTTACCACAAGGGAATGTATTTAAATTCTTATTTCTGCAGATCTGGTAAATAGTAAAATTATAGTTGCCAGATTGAACATATATTTTAATAATCCCATTATTACTGAAAAAATGGTTAACGAAGACATTTCTTTTCCTTACAGTTCATCCAATGAAAAAGCGAAAATCAATTTGTGATGTTTCTATTATATATTAGTAGTGTTGATAATTAAGATAAGAGGTAGTAGTATCAGTATTGTTTTATACAGTCCAAAGATTAACCACAAAGTTAATGAAACAAGAATATCAGCAGTCTCGTTTCAACATGGCATTTCTTAAGTTCTTTGATTGATACAATGACCTTGTCAGCAAAACAATTGATCATTAAATCAATTTAAATGCAGACTGACATAATAAAATACTAATTGTCGGGTCATTACTTACATACTGAATTGTCGATGGATTTTTTTTTCGGTATGTCCTGACAAGGAGCACACGGCGGTTGCTACCAGTCGGTAAAGGATGCCCACTCCTCCATGGCACCTGATCCCACCTGATGTTTCGGAGGTCTGTGTTTGCTCTGCTCCTATTTAGTATTGTTTAAAGGACTTTTGAGCTTGAATACTGTTCGTTATCTCCATATATTTCATACAAAATCTGGACAACTTGTCACTATGGTAGCAAAAACATAACCCGGCTTTGATCTTACGGAGGAGAACGGCCAATTTTGGCATGATTAACTTCACAATTAAGAAATGATTGTAACAAAGGACGATTTTTACCCGAATGAATACTGAAAAATCAAAAATTTAGATCCCATTCAAAATATCAAATTTTGCTTTAAAATTTCTTCTTAACTTTTTAAATTATGATAAACAAAACAACTTTTCAGATTTCATAGGAATTTTTCAAATAACCTCCTAGCTCCCTTTCTAAGGAGGAAATTCTTAAAAACCATATGCCAGTTTTAAATATTTTTTAATATTGCCATGAAATAAAATTAATTTGAATTATCAAACCTTTACTGGATTTCAAAACTCAATAAAAGTCTTTACAAACAAAGATGCACAGTTGTTTAAGTAAATGATTTATCAAACCTCTTTCTATACTAAAATAATTACAGCAGTAAAGGAGAAAATTCAAGGATACTGTACAACAGTATACAAGTAATCCAAGACTTTAGGGGGAGGGGGGAAGAAACTGTCAGAAATTTTGAAATCATAAAACTATAGCAAATCAACAACATTAAACAGTCATACGACTTTTCAACACTTTATACCCTCCACAATAAACTTAAGTTCAGGCTTTTTGACATCATAGAAAGCTTTTTCCAAAATAAAAAATACATGCAATATAAATGCATTGGTCATATTCAAAATGTTTCGTTGAAAATTATCTTATTGTACATACAAGTACTCAGAAGTCGATATCTTCCAGGAAAGAAGCTTGCGTGTCTGATTGACAATATCTTCTAGGTTTAGTATGTAGTTTTTGGAGATCAGGCCCCAGGATCATGAAACATCTTAAGAGTATAGTAAAAATCTTCATTGTGTACTTAAATGTTGTGGAAGTCAATCATATAAAAATTAAAATATGTTTCAACAATGATTCACTAAAGTTTTGTTATTTAAATATTTTGAGAGTAATTCAGAAATTAATAAACATTTTAAAGGCGATTGAAAATTTGATTTAATTCTTGATCTGTTTCATGAATGTGGGGCCAGACCTTTCCAAATTCTTTTCGAATTCCCATGGGTACCAATACGCCCCGTTATTACCAGACCTACATTTTTGTATTAATGTAAAGCAGAATTTATTTTGAAAACTTCTAAATGAGAAGACGATAAAAACACTTGGATATATCGAAGATGCGTCTAGTGTGTTTCATTGTACCAGAAAAGGTGTCAGATGCTGCAATTTCAGCAAAGGAATGACCAGGTTAATGTTTTTGGAGCAGGTTAACATTTTTGGCGCAGTTTTTGGTGTGAATCTCATTTCCAAGTAACTATAAGCCCTATGTTGACCAAACATGCATGAATGATACATCTAATGATGCACACTACCAGGATTGCTTTGGATGCTGAGTCTGACCTATATTTTCCGGATGAGTGAACAGGTTAATGTTTTTGGAGCAGGTTAACATTTTTGGTGCAGTTTTTGGTGTGGGTCTCATTTCCAATTAACTATAAGCCCTATGATGACCAAACTTGAATTGATAATACATCTAGGGATGCATTCAAATAGGCTTTCTTGGGATGCTGAATCTGACCTACATTTTCCGTATAAGTGAAAAGGTTAATGTTTTGGTGCATGTCCCATTTCCAAGTAACTATTGGTCGTATGATGACCATACTTGCATGGATAATGTATCTAAGGATGCACACTACCAGGCTTGCTTCGGATGCTGGATCTGACCCATATTTTTCGGATGAGTGAAAAGGTTCGTTTTTTATGCGGGTCTCATTTCCTAAGTAGCTATGAGTCCTATATGTTGAGCAAACTTACATGGATGAAACATCTAAGGATGCACACTAACAGACTGACCTACATTTTATGGATGAGTGAACAGGTTAGAGTATTTGCAGCGGCTTCTTCTTAAGCAGGTATATGCCCTATGTTTGAGCAAACTGTATACAGTTAATTCTCGATAAACCGCCACCTTTTGTAATTTAGAAATCATGGCAGTATAACGAATTTGGCGATGAATTGAATTTCCCATCTTTTAGGAAACATGAAGTAGAGTTATCGTTCTGAGAAATACCATTAAGCGTTTCTATTCTTAATATTACATATACATATATATAAAAACATATTTCTAAATTTGAAAATACTTCTAGTAATTTTTTTATGTACAATTTCGCTGAAACAAAATGTGCAGTTATGAAATAAAGACAAGTACATGACTGTATGCATGTAAATCTGCACGTCTGATATTGAAAAAAAAAACATGCTGGTTCGGTCGTCGTGATATATTGCCGATAGTACGTAAAATGGATTCTTGAATAAATTCATTGTTTATGGCATCATTGTTAATAAAACGTTCACAATTTCTACTGTATATATTTATTTTTTAAGCAAACTTTTCATTGCTTAAAGCAGATATCATTAAAATAATATCGTTATTGGCGAAATAAACAACAACCGCTTTCGTGGCGAAGCCGTGACTAAATGATTTTTATTAAACAGGAAACGGAATTATTATAACGGTTCATGTGAAAAGTATTGTTTATTTAATTCTTACTTAATTAAATAATTGCATGTACCTTGTCTGGCTTTGCATACTTAACGACAGGGATAGCGTCAACCAATTAGCCGCGCTTCACTGACCACTTGCACCTGTGGCGGTATATCGAGATAATTGACACTTAAAAATGGACGTTTGTTGTGAAAACAGGGTGGCGGATGGCGGTATGCGAATTTGGCGTTATAAAGAGAATTTTATATAGCAGGAAAAACGTTCTTGGGGAATCATGGCGGTATTGCGAAAATGGCGATGATTCGAGAACTGACTGTATATAGTAGAGTCCGGAAATGGATGATGCATCTAAGGATGCACGCTAATGGTCTTGCTTCAGATGCTGGATCCGACATACATTTTCCAGCTAATGGACCAGGTAAAAGTTATGGGTGTATCACCAAGAAAATTTAAGGCCTTTATTAACCAAACTTGCATAGATGATGCATCCAGGGATGAATACTCTCAAACTTGCTTCAGATGCTGATTTTCATTTTCTTGATGGGCGACTAGTTTGAAGTTTTCGGATAGGTTTATTCCCAAGTATCTGCAAGCCCTATCAGATCAAAATTGCCTAAACTTTGCATTTTTGGATGTAAACTTGTACGATATTAGTTTTAGTGGGACTTTGCCTTACTTATAGACAACATTTGTTGAGGTGAGCTCTGTAATCTCTGATTACCTATGGTTAATAATTTGAGAGGTCCGTGTTAGCTATGCCTACAATGTGTATAGTTTCGGTGGACTTCTATGCATGATTACATATTGTAATCTTCATATTTCTTCAATTAGGAGCTTGATTTTGCACAAGGTCATGACCAACCTCTGGATCTTAAATTTATATGAATCTATCACCCTTTCATTAAAAAACAGCTCAAAACCAAAGAATAAGACATATTTTAATTATATTCTTGCTGAACAATATAGATAATGTAAATATTCATAAACAATGCATGTAGATATATAACACGTGTTCAGTATAGATAATATATAAATATGATAACACTAAAAACAACCTAATTTCATAACTGTTGGTAAACAATGCATAAAACTATGTCACCGGGTCATTAGGACCTAAAATGTTTGCAATACACAAATCAAATCTTAATTGTCAATCTAAAATTAGATAAATAAATGGTAAATATTTTCATTGCACTGAATTTAGGAGACAAAATAATATACATGACACACACATGCTGATCACATGTAAAGCGTCTGAAACAAACATGGCTGTATACATACGTGATGACAAAAATGTAAACAATTCACTGGGGTCATTGATGTGACATTATTAATATGGACGGCTATATTTGATTGAAAAGTACACAATAATATTATAATATATGTATATCTACATTGCATCATTAACGGCGCCGGTCAATTGCACGTGAAATTCGAATATTGTGTCAGTGGCCGTCTGTTTTTGATTTTTTTTAAAAGGAGTTTTATATACGGGAACAAAATATATAAACATTAAATAATAAACTATATAATAACCAATTCAACTATTCTTATCACCGGTGGGGTATAATACTTGTACAAGTTACGCCATCAATGGTCTTTGAACGCACTTTTTACTTAAACTATAATAGTATGCGTGTGACGAAATCTTATTGGAATATCCAGATTCCATTTCATAAACTTTGTTGTCATGGGATTTGACATTATAACCTACAAACCATTCCAACATAATGGTATTTTGCATTTCATCCTAATTTAAACATACCAAGAAAAGTTGCTTTAGGGTCTTGAGAAACCTGACTAATGTTCGAAACCTTAACATAAATTTCGTCACCCACATTTAATCGGAACACACCGCCTGTGAAGCTTGTGTAATCGTCATAGTCCTTATTCCGTTCCCAGCACTGTGTTCTTATGCTTTTCAGGAGAAGTTCCTCGCCGCCGTTGGGGTAAATCACGTTATATCTGTACACGTAGTGATACAGCGTTGTGGCGCCAGAACTTTTCCCGCCAAAGTACTGAGACAGGAAGTAAACTTGACTATATATATAGTAAAGCCCAGAACTGTTGATACGAATCCGGTCGTGACCTAACTGCATACCTTTGACGTGCGCTATTGGGTCAGCGGTCATCCAGTTTCGCACAGCTGCTTGGCCCAATTCTGTAGTGTAGAAGACATTTGAACTATGATTATTAAATTTTCTATGCTTAATTAGCGCAATCCTAAAGTTAACCCTATTAATTAGAGGTATCTGTTTATTTTCTAAATGTTTACTTAAGTTCATATATAGGAATGTTCTTCAAAGATATTCAACAATATTGATAGTTATCTACCGGAACTCATGGCTGCAAATTGAGGACCAATCAAAAGGTGCGCAGCGACATCATTTTGGTTCCTTTGAGTTGCATTGGCTCGTGCTCTTAAACTTTCTTGTCCTTGTATCATGGCTGTAATAAAAAAAAAAGGTAAACTGATTTTTGGACGCTTCGTGACATTCGAGTGCTAACAGGGTAATGCACATTGCAGAAATCCAAGAAATACCGTGCATAACTTCAGAATGTAAATGTATATAAAAGATTTCATTATAAAATGTTCTTTCTTTGCAATATACATACCTCTCGCATGTGTGACGTTCTTCCTTTTCTCAAACACCTATAAGAAAATCACATAAAAGTATTAAGATCCAAGACTTTTCTACCTTTTTATGGACTTTCTAAGAAAACAGCGAAGTAAAGAACATGGCAAATTGAAAATAAGTCCTACCAATCTCAGAATGGCCGACGTCTGATTTGGTGTCCCTCCACAACAAACTTCTACTCCGTTAACTACCTTCCTCATAAGTTTAGAGAGATGGGTGTTATCCTCGGGAAATGGTCCAAACTTTAAGTCTGCACAAGGAACACATATTTGCCTGCTGTTTTGATTTTCGATTTCATTGGCAAGTTTGTTTCTGAGATCAGATATTAAAAGAAACAAAGAGACGACGGATGCTGTCAAAGCGATGCAAAGGATTAACAATGACAAAGTGACAGCTCTGTATAATGTAGGATAAGAACTGGAGCTTTCCGAAGACATGTAACTCTTTTCGGAACTGGAGGAGTCGGAGCTTCGCTTTCTTGCGATGGAACTCTCACTTGCTGAAGTTGTCAGTGTAAAATGGACATCCGGGCTTTCGCTGGGGCAGGGCGAGGGAGGAACCAGGGCCGTCACTGAGCTGCAGCTGCATTGCTTGGTGTTCATTGTCCGATCACTGAAATCATTCAATACTCAAGTATAAGAAATATTGTCATGACTTATAAATCAAAGACAAATATGGTTATGTAAGGAAATTCTTTCCTTTTCGTGCGATATTCCGGAAAAGTGTAATTATCCTTCTTTCAAGGGTACATGTAATTTGCTGGATTGAACAGTTAATTTTTAAAATTTTCATTTAACTATTGTGCAGCCAAGCAGCTATATTAAAAGTCTTATTTGCTGACGTAACTAGTGATTGAAGACAAAAAGCTTACAGCTGTACTACCCGTAATAGCGTGAGTCATGGCAGTGTGAAACTAAATATTCCCACAACAATTTACTTCTTGCTTTTATCTAAAATTGTTGGAAGGAAGTCTTCTTTTATAAATGTGGCACTGGCACAACTGGGTGACCTTAGTCATAATCTATACTGTTGGGTGAAAAGGTTTTTCATATTATTATAACTGTCATTTGCTATCAGAAAACACTTAATAAACAGAGTCAAATCTAAATCCTCATATTTTTTATCAAATGGTATGCGATAATGGCGGAAATGCCGTCAATCATTTTTTACTTGCCGTCGTAAAATCTATGTTTCAACTCAAAAGTTTTCTTAAACAATAAACTTTAATTCCATAAAAAAAATACCTTTACATACACATTGTCGAGAAATATTACAATGCTATCAGTTTTGGCGGAGATGCGCAAGCAACTTTTAATGCGTATTAATGAAAAGTGAAGTTGTGATTCGCAATCTTATTTGGACTTTAATATTTATTTCAAAAGTCTAATTTATTGTTTCAAACACTTGACATTATTTAATAGGACAAACGAGACAACTTATCTAATAAGTCTCTTAAGTTCTTCCTTTTAAAAAGTACTGCTAGTAGAGAAAACCGATTTTTAAAAAATTGTTTTAGGTACAAAAATAAAATTATTTTAAGACATAATATTTACAAATAGTCACTTTATTTTCCTATAAAATGGATCGAAATAAGGGCAGGAAAGATAGTCCTTCCTAAAATCATCAGAATTTATATAATCAGGTTCAATAATATAAAACAGTCTAAATATTTCTTTTATCTTATGTTGCGAGTTTCATTTTCACAAAATTAAATTCGCAGACTCAGATTAAAACTGAATATACATTCAGAGACAACAAATAGTTGCTGAGGAAAAAATGTTCGTTGCTAATGCCAATTCTAAATACAAGACATATAAAAAGAAATATAAATGTCATCTACTCAAAGTTTCCTATACCAGCCAACAAAGGAAAGGTTGTAAGACAATGTGCATCGTGCAAAGATCAAGAAAGACAACTCATAAGAATTGCATGCGCTGTTTCTTGCAGAATATAATGAAATTTAATCATGTAAATACATACCTATCCGTTTTGTTTGTAAACAATTCTCCGTGATCAATATGTCATGTTTTGTTAGATAATCTCTCCCTATATATTTTTACTCTGTCCCAGTAACCTCCGATGATTGGTAGAAATTATAGCCACCTCGGCCAGAAGGAGGTGGTTTAATATCCATGGAATAAATTAATTTTAGTTCACACAAATTAAAATTATCTATCACATCAATTCATATAGGTCACTGCACCGCTTCTTCGATCGCTGAAAAGAAAAGAAAATCTTGTGACATAGAATTGTGAATTACTCCTAATGATACACGCAGTGTGTAACACCTCTTGATGAGTTGAACAATGAAAACAGTGTGAAACTTTTAATGCCAAGTAGTAATTTAATCATTTCATCGGAAGTTCTTATTGTGTTCAAGAAAGGTATATTTTCTTAAGGGTTTTAGAAACAAGGTGCAAATTATCTACTTTAAGAGGTGTATGAAAGGTGTGTTTTTGATTGTACATTTTAAATAAAAGTAAAATCTAAGATTGGCGAAACGCAGCGCCCTAACTAGCTCAGGCCATCTTGATAAGGGGTCGATGATCTTAAAACAGGCGCTGGGAGAAAAAATGATCTAAAATCCCGAGTGTCAAACTTATTTAATGGAAACTTTTTTATATGTAGTGATCATGAATCATAAATTTAACAAGGCTGGTCCTGAGAGGGAGAATCGGTACATTTATTTTTAAGATTTAGATGAAGGTAATGGTACTTCATCAATTTAAGAGTGTGCATATTTATTTCTGGAAAGGGTTTATCAAAGTACATGCAAAATCAGTTTGACGACTACTTAATTGTTAATATTTTTTTCACAAAATGTCAAAGAGAGAGAGAGAGAGAGAGAGAGAGAGAGAGAGAGAGAGAGAGAGAGAGAGAGAGAGAGAATATGATGTCTGTATGCATTTGGCCGAGAAAATACTTTAAAAATTTCCTGCAAATAACCTGGCAGAATCCCTCACTATAAAAAAATAATTAGTGGGGGTAAATTATTATTTCCTTTTGATGTCCAAGACATACGACCAACTCGTTTCTATTTGTAGATATATCTTTTAAATTCTATATTCCCATGGAATTTCGTTTATGGATGAGTATTGTGCAAACATTTAAATTTACTTTTGTTTCTCTAATTCCAATAATGCTCTCCACCCCCACCCCACCCCCCAAATAATATCATTAAGTCAAATGCTGACTGACGTTTTTCATACTAATTGTTAGTCCATTATTTACACATTGAATTGACGGATTTTTTTCGATCGTGACAAGGAGCACACGGCGGGTGTGACCGGTCGGCAGGGGATTGTCACTCTTCCATGGCACCTGATCCCACCTCTGATGTTTTAGAGGTCCGTCCTTGTTCTGCTCTATAATTTGTATTGTTTAATGAGCTTCTGAGCTTGAATAGTGTTCGTTATCTCCATACGTATATTTCATAGACAGATTGTGAAATCTTCAACTTATATGAGAAGGAAATTCAAATATATATTTATTTAATTATTTTCAGTTGGAAAACCACCTTTATTAACCTAAATAATCTAAATGTAATGAAAAGCAATCATAAGGTACTCAAACAAACCTATTTAAATGTTGGGGTTTTTTCTGGTTAAGGGTGGTTTATTGTCAAGAGTTTGTCAAGTAAGGTTGATGCCTCAATATTTACCATGTATTCCATACAAACTCCACAATTTCACATTTTATCTGAATATACTATTAACATTTTTTTTAAAAAAATGTAATTTGAATGAGCTTATACATATATATTAACAAAATTGTTTGAAAAAGTTTTGATTACAAAAAGAAATCCCTATTAGAGTATGCGAAAATGCCTCTCGCTCTCTCTGTCTCTGTCTCTCTCTCTCTCTCTCTCTCACCTACGTTTAAGCTAACAAAGCTAAGATATAATTGTACAACCAATACTGATTTAAGTCATTCAGTTTATAGAAGAAGTAAACGCAACAGAGAGCGAATCAATACGTGGTACCGGAAAAGACATCCCATTTTCTGACTCACTTCATCCAGTGTCTTATTTCGACAGCTAGAAATTCTCCGTCTTTGTTCTCTTGATAAATTCTTCCTACATATGAAAATCAAATTGGCTCTCTGCTTAAAGTTTTCGTGACCTAAAAACGGTTACTACGGTATCAAAAATGGATTTAGCATAAGTGTCATTATAAAAAAGATAAATATCCATTTTGAATTTGTTCCTTGTATTTGTTGAAAAAGAATCTGACAGGAATACGGTTATCAAAGACTGAGGGTTGTGGAAAATGAATTAAAAGAGGTAGCTATTATTTATACAATTGTTGAAACAAAAATAAGTGCCAGGCCGTAGGAAGAAAATATTTTCAGTTTGAAAAGAGCCACAAGAAAGGTTATAACTTAGGGACATAAGCATAAAGTAGCAGTGTACTCTACAGTTAATTAACTCGCGTTTACTAGTAGGCAGAATTATCGAGGGTTCTTGTCGCTGTTTCTTACGGCCTTGATTATAAAAAAATGCTTGTTACAAATAATAAAAAAGCAATTTATCCTTCATATATTTTTTCTTTTATATTTTATAATACTCAAACAATCAAAGAAATCCTTACCTCTGCAAATAATGGACAAAATAGATATAGGCCCTACGACTGTTTACAAATAAAATGCACCAAGGTTCAACTTTGTTTTTATATTTTGTCGATCTAAATGATTTACGAGTAATATCCTGTGTGTACAATTAAGATCAAGTACTGCAGTATGTATACAGCTTACTTTTTTTTTAAATAATAAAAAAAAATTGCCAGGAAATCAACAGTTGTCGAAAACTGAATCTCTCTGTCTCTCTCTTTCTTCTTCTTCTTCTTCCTCTTCATTAACAGGAAAACCTTTTATTTTTTACTATTTGATATATGTTTCTGTAATCATATTGTATAATATTGGGCAAAGTTTCATGAATACACTATATATATGTATCAAATAAGCAGTGATGAAGCATCCTTTTCGAAAGGGGGAGCCAGAGAAATAAAAATCAACTTACGGCCGAAAAAAACTTGACCAATACAAAAAAAAAATTGCCCGAACTAGGGGAGGTGGTTTGAAGTGCAATGAGGGTCAGGTATGTTCCAACTTCTTTCAGTAACTTTTTTGACTCAACATACTACATTACCTTTATTTGACTATACAACAACAAGAAGTGGGGGCGTGCCTGAAAAGTTTGAGTAGTTACATGAACAAAACGTTAAGCATTGAAAGCAAATTCAAAGCATTATGGTCTTCCGCTTTCGCTGTCTCAGTGGATGGGATGCCATTATTTATGGCCCGGCATATTGTGTCAGATATGTACGCCCTATCATATGTCATTCCTGAGAAATCACCTAAGGTAATATTTTTGAAAAGTAGATCAAACATGGAGGTCAAGGGTAAAAAATTAAAGCAACCTCGGAAACATCTTATTACAGGCAATGCACATTTTAAATATGAAAGCCCTATTTCATCTCAATCAAAAGTTATTAGGAAAGATAACATTTTTGAAAAGTTAGTCAAACTTCAAGGTCACGGCGTCAAAAATCATGATGCATTTGGAAAGGTGTTGTCACAGGTAATATAAATTTGAAACTCGAAAGCTCTACTATGGCTTTTCTCTTTCAAAAGTTATGACCAAGGTTAAAGTTTTGAAAAGTAGGTCAAATTTCAAGTTCAAGGTCATTGGGTCAAAAATTGTGGCGCATTTAGAAAGGCCATGTACAGGTAATACACCTGTTCAATATGAAAGCTCTACCTTTACTATCTCAAAAGTTATCATGGCCAATATAACGTAATTTTATTTAATAATCGCACTTTCTAAAGAATATCCGAATATATATTTGTTTAATTTTTAATATAAATTATATCCATTATCCACCAAATATTATCAATTTAAGTTCTTAAGGTATCCAACCCATATCATCCTAAGATTCAATGAAATTGGATGAAATGCATTGAAATGAAATTGAATGCATACTAAATGTGTATGGGTTGAACACTTAGTATATTTAGACATACTTTTCATGTTTAAACTTCAGTATGAAAATGTGTCCTGAATTATATGACCGTGTCCTGTCCTCAAGGGGTTATCTCCTTTAAATTTTACTCCATAAAAACCAATTCTAAAACATCTATCTGGTGAAAAAAAAAAAAAAAATAAGAAGAAGGTGTGACAGACGGACGGAGTCAGGATAACATTTAACCCTTTCTATACAGGCACATTTTTAAAAACATTTTTGGAGACCTTTTGACACATCGTTATAAATCAATTTCTATCTTTTTATACAAAAATAAATCTAAGCATAATGCATTTCATTTTAAGGAAATTTTTCATAACTATTCTGAAAGTACCTCACGACTGACCTGACCAGTTAATACAGGTCAAATGTTCCGAAATTATTCTATAACTTTAAAAATATGTGTTAATTGTAAATATCAGGGAAACCAGTCATTTTTTTATATGAAGAACAATACTAAAATAAAATGCTTGAATCAAGATACCAAAGTCGGGGTTATTGTTTTTAACACTTTTACTATTTAAGATTAATTCATTGATGGTCAGGAAAAATAATAATTTTAAAAAACTCAATTTAATTTAATTTATTTATTTAATTGATTGATTGATTGATTGATTTATTTTCTTATTTATTATTTTTTTTCTATTCATTTATTTTACTTAACAATATTTTTCACAACCCCCCCAATTAATATGTAACATACTTCCAAATTACTTCTATTTGGTATGAATTCAAATTGATAAAAAAAAATTTGCTAAAAGCTATGACATCACAGAAGGAAATACCTTTAAAGTAATAAATCTCTCGGGGGTGGGGGTGTCGCTGCTTGCGAATCACGTCCTATGGTGAGGGAGATAGCAAAGGGTCTCTCTGTGCTTTCGGTACTTTGATTACAGTCTGCATCACCCAGACGTTTGTGGATATGTGTAAACTGTATGAAGAATACAAACGTCTAGTTAACATTGACATCTGTTGCAAACGCCATCTAGTGAGTTGGGGAGAAAAAACAAAATAAACGCGGTACACACCACAAGTATAGTTTTATGACAGAAAATGGAGGCTGTAGAAAAGATTGACATGTCGTTAGGTGAATATATATGTTTCAAATGTAAATATCTAGCATTTTCTTCACGAAATTTGTGATTCCTAAATGCACGAGGAAAAATGAAACAACTTCAACTTGGCAAGGAGGCTGAACATGAAATCGGATCATGATGCATCAGATACTCATCAAACATTGACTGACTGGGGCAGTGATTTTACCTCATGCTCTCCATCAACACTTTCTAATTAATGTTATTAGATTGTATAGACCTTTATGAAACCTTGAAATTTGATATTAACTCATCAAATATAGCAGTTTTAATGGTTGTTTCTAATTTTTAATGATATTTGTGATATAGTTGGTAATGGTCTGAAGTTAAAAACAGGTTGAGATCATTAGCCAAAATGAAATGTACAGTGATATGTTGACGGTGCGACCGTTAGGGCAAGCGCAGATGCTTATCTAGTTTTCATTTAGATCGGACTCGTCAAACCGCACGTGACATTTGGTGCGTATAAGAATCTGACGTCATATGGCGTCTTTTGTATGTTGATTTACCAAACTGAAGCCTGAACAAGGCTGATTTCAATCAGTTTATGACTATTTTTCTTCAATAAACAGATTAATTCATTAAATCAAGGCAAGTTTATTATTTGTTTAACTTTTGTTGTTATTCTTGCGAGAACATTGCTTTAGCGTTTGTGTACAAAGCGATGCATTGTGGGTCAAAATTACTGTGGAAAAAATTCTTTGGAATGAATTTGCAGTAGTCCGCATTTTCTCTTCGCGTCTTTAGAGCTCACAGTTACTAGCGAGGCTGGCTGCGCTCGCTATTCTTACTATGATAATCTGTTTACAATGAGAAAGAGTGTTTCTCAATATCTGTGATAATGCTCTTTTGCAGGGCAAAATGATCATATATTTTCGTGAATCAGGACTAACGAGCATTTCATTGTTTAATATACATCAATTTTGTCATCAAAATATTTGCCAAACATTATTAATTCGTCATGTAAAAGAGCAGTTTCAGAAAAGGCCTAAGGCCATCTTTTAAAAAATTGTTTGGTTGTCCTCTCCCGATCAACTGACAAAAAATGGCCCGACTCAAAACTTTGTTTTTAATTCAAGTACATAATATTTTATTCCTGTTATCCGGTCAACAAATATGTTGCAATTTTCTAGAAAAAAAATTTTCCAGACTACTCACTAATTTTACCGTGAGTTGGAGAGGGTAGCAATCAATTCTTTTAAAGATGGCTTAATATTCCAAAAGAGAATAATTTAATTTTAGTTGTAACACATCATTTGATTTGGTAAAAGATTTGATCCATTTTGTATAACTTAACTTGCCTATGTCACAATGAGTTAACATCAAAAACAAAAACGTATTACTCCGCTTGACGTTACTTTTAAAGTAAGCTCAATTTGAAGCCTTTTTCTGGAGGAAAAATTGTCTCATTGTGTACAATGAAATTAAATTATAAGGAATGAAGCTTATTTCAACTTATTTTACTTGATATAACATAACAGTTTACGCTTTTTATAAACCCCAAGTGTAAACTGCCCTAACTTTTGTTATATCTTATAATATAAGTTGAAATAAGCTTCATTCCTGAATTAAAATTTTTGGTGCAAAAAAATTAAAAAAAAAAAGAAAAAGAAATTTCTTGACTGTAAATGTTTTCATTTTGCATGAATGTGTACATTTAATGACCTACAGAATTAATCTTATTCCTAAGTTTCTCAGGAGAAAAATTCAAAATTCAATGTGACAGGCAGGGTTTATGCTTTGATGTGACTTATCATTTGCATTATTCAGACAATCTTTTTCATGAGCTACTTTGCTACAGTTTGATGAGTGATTACTGGGTAAATTTAAACAGGGCAAAATTGTTTGCAAGTGTGAAGTGTGGGAGGAAAATACACCACAAAGTATCCCTGAATACAGCATTTCTTTTAATGTGTTATAATGAAAGAGTAAATGACTTTCATGGTGGCATTTTATATTTTTGTTTCATTGTTTTATACTTGACATTATATACCTTAAATATTCATGAACAAGTTGAAAAGAGGCTATAATTGATAAAATTTGTTTTTTTTTTATTCTTCTTATTTATTTTTTTTCTGTTACAGATGACATAATTAAACTTAACAAGAAGAAAAATGCAAGGCCACCTGGAAATAGGGGAGGTAGAGGGCAAGGCAGAAGGGGGCAGGGAAACAGAGGTGGATCAGCTAACAGAGGAGGCTTTAGGGGAAACACCAACAGAGGAGGCATGAAAAGGGGAAATTCAAACAGGGGAGGCTCACAGAGGGGAAAAACAGGCAGAGGAGGGGCAATGTGGGGTGCAGGTCAGAGTTCAGGAGTCAGAGGATCAAAGGGCGGTAATCGGGGGAAGAGACAGGGAAGGACAAATACTGCTGTGGACAATGTCAAGGGAAGAGGTCCTAACAAATACAAACAGCTGAGGACCAATCTGATGAGGAGAGGAAAGGCCAGAGGAGCTAAGGGTGTGAGTCCACTAAACAGAGGGAATGCTAGTCAGGTATGTAGGGAATGCTTCGTCATACTCAACATGTTAAAAAATGTAGAAGCATATGATTAAACAAAATAATGATAAAACTTAAGGCTATTGAAAGCAGTCAACATTAACTGGTATTGTTTAAATTCCTCGCAGAATCAGGATCAAAGGAGGCCAAATCAGCAAAACAGGGCATCAAATCTAGGTCAGATCAAGTCCCAAGCACTCAGTGCTCTTAGACAAGCTAGGCTTACATTAGCTAAGATTTCAGCCCGTGAAAAGAGGGAAAATATCGTCAACCAGCGTAGGGGAATTCAGGTCAGTTATTTTAGAATTAAAAATGCCAGAGCAATGACTCTGTTAAACAATGATAACTTTACAATTTAATTATATATTTTGAAATAACATAAATTTTAATAACATGATAAAATCTCCTATACAGGCAAGCATTATAATCCTTTGAGTACTTATTCTTTGATTCGTTTGAATCCAATTTTACGCTTGTGCTGAGCTTCTGTTTTGATTTCCAATGAATTTGTAAGTTTTAGAATAATAACCTCAGCTGATATATTTCTGTGCTATTAAATACATATCATATTACATACAATTCCTGAAACGTTCTACTTTCCCACCTGAACGGTGAACGAACGCAGAGCGAAAGGTGAGTGAACATTGTGCGAATGCTGAATTCAACTTGGTGAACGATGTGTGAACGGTGAGTTAACGCAGAATGCAAACGGAGCGTGAATGCAATCGCAAAGTGAACGGTGAACGCGAGATGAACGATTTATTCGTAATGCCTCCGATCTTTTCCTTGCATTGAAATTATTCTATTATTCTATAATTCTAATTTCAGGTGCTGAATTATAAATAAACAATAGATAAATAAATAACTAATAAAAACATTTTTTTCTGCACATACGTATGTTTTAACACGATATTTTAATAACACGATTTTAATTGCCGTAAAACGTGTATAAATATAAAATTAATCTACTTATATAGTAAATATGCTTATTATTTTAACTAATAAAATAATGTGTGGACTTTAGAAGATAAAACTACTATTTATATGTGTGGACTTTAGAAAATAAAACTACTATTTATAGAATGAATAAATTACATTGTACCGGGTTGAAACAACCATACATGTATTTCCGTGCCAAGGCGATTCTGAGTAAAATAATGGATTTTTTAAATTTACAAAAGTCTGTTGACATATTGCATAAATACACTCATATTTTAAAATTCTAATGCAAAATATTATTTATTTATGTGTCATTTTTATTCTTTTATGATGATTATTTTAGCTAACTTCTACATGTATCTGTAGACATTTCCCGGCCGTGATTATACTCAGACAAGATGATGGAAAGCGGCAATCAAATTATTTGTAATAGATTAAATTTTCAAAACTAAAAAAGTAATGTGCTGTCATAGTTTTTATTGAACAGAGAAATGTACAAGATAGAGAGAGACCCGTACATTCTCAGATATCTGTTGTATCAAATAAAAATTCTCATTATTTTTCCTTAATATTCCAAGCAGTAAAAGTAATCATTTTTCTAAAGATTAACAAATCCATTTGACAGTAATCATCGGCTTTTATTTTCCATCTTCAAGTTCACACGCATCACACGAAGTCCACGTGCTTGTCCTGTCAATCAAAATCATTCGACACAGTGGACGTGTGGAAATCTCGTTTCAACGAACATGCCGAAGGCAAAGTGTCACTTAGTATTTCCAAGAAGTTTTAATATTTTTCCAGGGGTTCAAAATTTTTTTTGTCATGGTCAAGTCCAGGACTTGAGGAGTAAATTTTAGGCAAGTCCGAGGAAGAAATTTCAGAGTCCATATTTACCTATACATCATTAAATTTATGTAACTTATAATTTATTTTCATTTGTTGCATTGAATGAATAAAGACTATATGTATTAATATATGTTTTATTTTTCCTCCATAAACTGTCATGTAGTCATACATGAGTATTTCAACACAATACCAGACTGATAGATTACTTGTACATTACAATAACTTTTACAAATACTCACTACTGAATAAACCATCTGTTCCAATAAATAGAAAAAATTAGAATGTGCTGTAAGTCACAGCTAAAACCGAAATTTAACAAACTCATTGCCGTTTGTCATATAGGAGGAAACATGAGGAATTGCGTAAAACAAGAGTCTAACCGCAACGGAAAATAAAAAGACGGATTGTATTTTCGAAACGTTCGTAATGTTTTATGGGTATTTTAACGCCCACAAACCCACATTTTTACTTAATACATTTGAGAATTTGCTTTATTTTTAGCTTTACGATCATTTTTTTAACTTATTAAAAAAGATAAACAAGAAACATAGCCAAGTCCCAGGACTTTGGCGAATTCTAAATGCCGAGTCCGGATCCGGAATTTGTTAGTCCGGGACGTCGGGCTTGAGGATTTTTGAACCCCTGATTTTTCCTATCATTTCTAGATCTGATTTTCGCATTTCTGCAGAAAAAAAAATAAATAATGGGAATATATACTTGGAAGGATTAAGTTTGAAATTGAATTTGAAACATATTCCCTGCCAATTTAAAATACTACTGTCGGCACATGTATATTTTGAAATACTATTTTTTAATGACTGTTTTGATGTTCGTTTTAAGACTGATTTTCTTGTGTTACAATATGTTTTGATGTTCGTTTTAAGACTGATTTTCTTGTGTTACAATACACATTAAATATTGATTAAATTATACTGAAAATACTAACTAAGAATTTGATTTCAGATGAAAAGGCACGGGGGGAGGGGGGCTCTTAATCGTACTGAATGGCAAACATATATTTAGGTACAGTGAAAGATGAAATTTAAAAAAAAAGATATTTAATTAAAAGTATACACGCTATAACTTGCGCCAGTTTAAATAAGATTGGAGATTTATATATTTTGTTTATCAATAAAAGTTACGAAAATACTGTTAATTACATCATTGAAATAAAACGCGTTATAAAGTTATCAAATTATAATTATTTATTACCCTGCTAGGAGAGAAATGGCTATGTTTAAATAAATCCATCACGTGACGCTGTCGCTACTTTTAGATTGATAAACAAACTTGGCGTGAAGAAAACAAGGTAGGCCATTTGAGATACTACTCACTTTTGATGTGGATGGCAAGCGTCTTACTCTTAATGATGCTTATCTTTTAATGTAATCAGTATCAACCATCTACTCTGTTATGACGCATTATTAACCTTTTTATTAATAATTGTTGTCAAAATGCAACATACCTCGTTGTCTGTGATTTCCCATGGACATGCGTGTCTATATATAGGCCTACTGTTTACGCACTTCCTTCATCAATATTCATGAAAAGACTGAATTCTTAATTGCCAGATATTGCTTAATTGTTTTGTTATTACAACGACGTCTATGGTAAAATTTTGTGGAAAGTATTATTTTTCATTACACTTCATATGTTTCAAATCATTAATCATTTTGTTTCACACAAAATTCGGGGTTCATATAGCGTGTAGGACTTTAACTGAATATCTGCAATACTGTTCATAATTCTCAGACCTACATGTAGTTCTAATATGTTTTCATGCATCTTTTTTTAAAATACGTGTTAGAAATGTTTTTTTTTGTATTCTTGTCTAGTAAAAGACTTCGATTATTATCCATCCATTAATGATTTGTGGTCTTTTACATTACAACAAAATGTTGTCGTGCTTGAAGCATTTGTACATTGCCCTTATTCAAATTTAATATTTTAGCATCATTCTACATACATGTAGGTACTTAATGTATTATTTTCCAGGGAAATTTCATGGATAAAGTAACAACTAAGTAATAGAAATATAAATATAGTAGATACTTTTGCAATGAAATAATTATTCTTCAAACACGATATCTTAGTTATTTAATTAAAAAACGTGTAAATCCTTACCGTCAAAAAGATAAGTCCTTTCACTTCGGAGTTCCGAATGACAATGAAGACTGAACGATAAGTGAACGGTAAAACGCAAGGTGAACACAGGTAAACGGAATGAAGAGCGAATTGTGAACGTTTTGTGAACAGTGAACGCACGCTGAACGAATGGTGAATGAACGGTGAGCAAACGGAAAAATGGGAAAGTAGAACGTTTCAGGGACTGTACCTGCTATGATATGGCATTTGTATTTCAGACCAATAATAACCAGAACCCAAGAAGACAACAGTCATTGAACAGAGGGGGTCGAGGAGGAGGGGGCAGGGGTCGGGGAGGTGGGAGGGGCGGATTCCGACGTGGATGGAGGCAGCCAAACCAGCAGTCCACAGTAGATGACAGTGGTATCATTACAGTCAGTGTGGCAAACTCCCCACAAAGTCAAAGGCAGCAAAACAGGTGCTTCATACTGAAACAATAGCTTGTTATGATTGGATATTTGTATGTTTGCTGGTACATGTTAATTGTTACCCCAAAAGCTCAAGTGACCTTTTAAAGCAAAGTGTGTAGATTTCAATTTGTTTAAGTTGTGCTTAAACTATGCTAGGTCCTAATAAGGGTCCAAAGTTATACATACGTAGGAACATATGAAAAAGATATTTTAATTAAAAACTTATTGATAACAGTAATGCCATGATATCATATTATAATAATCATATATAATAATCATAATCATATGATTATAGAAACATCTCCAGGTAATATAGCTTCAAGTTGGTTCAAAGCATGAGCTCAGTGGGTAGGGTGGGGCCACAGCAGGAGATCAAATTTATACATATAGACATATAGAAAAAACGTGATATTTAAAATCTCTCAGAATAATAAAGCCATGATTTATCATGCTTAAAAGACTATCCCCAGGTAACATAGAATCAAATTTGTTCAAATCATGACCCCCAAGTAGAACAACAAACTAAGGATTTGAAAATTATAAAGAAAAAAATCTTTAAAAAGCTTCTTAAGTTATAATTAATTAAAATAAATACCCTCAGTTTTTGAAAATTTAAGTTTCTTCAAACCATAATACCCCCCCCCCCCCCCCCATTTTGGACCATTTTGCCATTTTCTTTTGAGATTATTTACCATCATGTCTTTAAATTGTTAAAATAATTTTTTTTTTTCTGCAGACCCAGAATCAATAGAAACAACTTAAGCACCTCAAATATTCGACAAGAAATACTTGTAAGTATGGGATTCACTGAAATAGTTGAATTGATGCACATTACAAAGCAGAGAAAAATGTCCGATCAAGCAGTATAGAGTTTATCTGATGTGTAAAGCATTTTTCCTGTTTTCCAAGACAATGAAATAAATAACACAAATTTGCAACATTCAAAACCACATTTGTAAATATCTCCAATACCTTTGCAATCTTCTGATAAATTTGACATTGTTTAATGAATTTAGTGCTGGTATATTCTGGTTTCTGTGAAGCATAGAAAAGATAATGACTTCTTGGGGTATTCAGTTTCAAGACTTTCAATAATGTTAATATTGTCAGCATGATTTCACTAGACAGTATGCATTAAGAAGTACTAGTACTGAATTGATAATTTATAATTATACGCCCGTCTTAAGACGGGACGTATTATGTTATAGGCTTTATGTCCATCCAGCTGTCCGTCTGTCCATTTGTGTCATAACTTGAATACTATTAGGCTTAGTATTATCAAACTTTTTAGGGCCCCGCAAGGATTTGCGGGTGCCCTATAGTAATCACTCTGTCTGTCCGTCTGTCACTCTTCCGTCCACAAATTTTCTGTTTTTTTCTAATAACTTTTTTTATGGTTGCCCAATCAACTTCAAATTTAGTATGGTAGTTCAGTAGGCAGAAATACATATGTTGATGCTAAGTTTGGTTCTCTATGTCTTCTGGTTTGGAGCTGGGGTGGTGGGGTAGATTCCTTAACTATGCATAAGAATGAATGGGCAACTTTTTTTATGGTTGCCCAATCAAGTACAAATTTGGTATGGTAGTTCAGTAGGCAGAAATACATATTTTGATGCTAAGTTTGGTTCTCTATGTCCCCTGGTTTGGAGCTGGGGTGGTGGGGTAGATTCTTTAACTTTATATAAGAATGCATTGGCAAAGAGAGATAACTGCTGAAGATGTTCCCATTGTAAACTGAATGTTGGCTATGAGTCCCTTGGGATTAATTAGCTTTCCTCCTGAAGAAAATCCAGAGCATTATCTTTATCTGTCACATTGAGATGAATTACCACCTCTGTCTGCAAATGAAGTTTGTTTTGAAGTTAAGTCAATTTGGAATGCTATGAACACTCTGAAATGTGGATTTAAATATAAATTTTTATTATTTATTTTTGTTTAATAGTTATGATTTCATTGAATTCTAAAAACAAGAAATAGATTAAAGAAGATTTTTTGATTTACTTTTTAAACTTTATGTTAATTACAGACCCTAAACCGTGCTACTACACCACTTGAACGGTACGGTTCGGTACGCTTTGTGCACGGAACGGTACGCTTTGTGAACGGAACGGTTCGTTTTGTGAACGGTACGGTACGCTTTGTGCACGGAACGGTATGCTTTGTGCACGGAACGGTATGCTTTGTGCACGGAACAGTTCGCTTTGTGCACGGAACGGTACGCTTTGTGAACGGAACGGTTCGTTTTGTGAACGGTACGGTACGCTTTGTGCACGGAACAGTTCGCTTTGTGCACGGAACGGTACGCTTTGTGCACGGAACAGTTCGCTTTGTGCACGGAACGGTACGCTTTGTGGACGGTACGTTTCGTTTCTTGCACGGAACGGTTCGTTTTGTGAACGGTACGCTTTGGGAAACGGTATGCAAATGAAGTGGGCGGAGCCTGTTAACTTTAATTCTTGATTGGCTGCAAAAAATTAATTCATTCTAAATGACTTTTGAAGTACTTATAATTAATGCATGTATACAATTATATTTCCGCTATCAACAAATTAATTTCTCGGTTTCAATTTAAACATAAATTTACACTACAGCGGTGATGGAGGAAAAATGAAGAAAAAAAATGAAAGGAAGAAAAAACATCATCCCACCGATGTCTTTGGCATTATGAAGAGACATGTATTATTATATAGAACTCGTAAATATTTCCGTTCTTATTTTTTACGTATGCTGAAACTTCATTTTAAAAAGGAAAAAAATAAATTAAATATTTTTTTCACTTTAAAATAAAATTGTAACATAATTAAAAGGAATTAATATATAACGGGTATTTATTTGTTCTATACATATAATGCTACGCACATATATAGGGTGAGTTCACCATGCATCGGACACATACCTTGCTTCGGACAACTTTAGGCAATAAACTCTCTTTCAACTTATGAGTTCTGTGTATTTATTTGTTTCTGTCATAAAGACATAGATTTAAATTTTTTAACGGTACCGATTGTGTTTATCATGTTGTGATAAAAATACCCCGCAAATGGCCTTGAAGTTACGTCATATTTTACATCATCAAAGGGGAATACCCCGAAATTTATGATTTTGCAATTTTTAGAGTTATCGTTCTTTTAAATTCGACTTCCGCGGAACGAGTCGGACTTTGGTGAATTTTGTCAGGGATTGGTAATTTTACATAAATTATAATTAAATTTCACTTCAATGTTTGTTTAATTCTTATTAGAGCTGGTTTTTACTAGTATGCTATTTTCACCGTACATCGGACACAAATTAACCATGCACCGGACACTTTTCGATGCAAAGGTAAGTACTACCATTTTCATACAGAACCCAGCTGACAGCTGTTTTTTGCGGAAAAAGAAAATAAAAAATCTATATTTGCAGTCAAAATACACGTTATCGATATAGGACGTCTAGAATTTTACTCTATTTATTTCTACAAACCAGAGTATGATAAACCACAAGAAAAAGGCGCGAATTACGGCATTATAAGCATTTTAAAGCATTTCTAAGGCAGAGTGAGGTCTCTGGAATTGTTATTCGTTTGTGTAATAATATCGTCTATTAAATTACAGTTGAGGATTATTTCTTAGATAAAAGATGAAAATATATCCATATCAAGGATTTTAAAGCATTGTGATAAAGGTATGATATTTTTCCGGTCTTCATACCGTCTGTCCGATGTATGGTGAACAATGTTCGATCCATGGTGAATTTTCTGTTTTTTCTAAAAACTCGATTTTAGGGGATATTTTCTCAATAAACGGCATATAATTGTGTCCTAAATTGTTATTTTAATCACAAACTATATGTTAAACTCCATTTTGATAATTTTCCGTCGGTAGCGATATCGCTAGAACTTGTTGAAGTACAAGGGTATCCGATGCATGGTGAATTCACCCTAAATTATTTTTAATTGATTGATCTATAGAAATAAATATGACTATTCCTGCTTCATTTTTATTCCTAGTAATAAAATATGTACATTATTTTTTTTATTTTTAAAATTGTAGATCTATCGTTTAAACGTTTGCTTCAGAAGAGAAATATCAGTAAACAAAATAAAAACGAAAACCAGCAGCAGAAACACGAAATCAATACAATAACTTCCGAGCGCTTTCTCGTAACAGAAAACATTCTTTCACAGACATGTATCTATGTTTTCAATAATCCTTTCAGTGTATTTAATAAGTAATTATTTTAATAAGTTTTTTTTTAATTTTATTAAGTTATTCTATTCTTGTAAAGTCTGTAAAAACGATGTCGTGAATGAAAGAGAGAGGGGGGGGGTAGAGAGAGAGAGAGAGAGAGAGAGATGCAACCCCTTAATACATTACATCTGTAAAAAAAAAACCAAAAAACTTGTATTTATTCTCATTCTTCGTTTTATTTACATCCTCAATGTCACAATTAATCACTCTATGATTCTATTTAATCAACTCATTTACAACTATTGTGCAATGAATAATCCGTTCTCTGTATATGCATGCTGCATGCATGAAATCCTCGTGCATCACCTGTCAATCAATATGGCATGACGCTAGGTGACCCTGAAAGTCTGTTTACGCTGGAAGAATTTCTCCTGTGATTTGAAACATTCTTATGGTCAGTTCATAGTTCACACCTGTATAAAAAAAATATTGGGTCACACCGGAGGGACGGGGGCGCCGTGGGTTTAACACCTTTCAAATTATTTAGTTCTGACCACATCAAGTGTATTTAATCACTCAACTAACATCCAGCAAACTCATCTTCCAGGTTGCACCACAACACTGATTACAAATTTACTTCCTAAATTATCCTTTTTCAGACAAAAATAAATAAGCAAGTATCCCTAAATTATAATTTTTTTTTACAAAAGCACAATTTAAAGTCGCATGAATTCGCATAAGTATCACCTTCTGGAAGGGGGGGGGGGGTTAACAAACAAAACTCATAAGGCTTGAAAGAGGATTGATATTTTTTTTAAATTTCATTTTATTTAGTAAATTATCTTTTTCAAACACTAATAAGGATGTTTCCTGTAGATTATGATTTTTTTTATTTACAACAATGTACCATTTTGCAGACTTCTAAAGAACGTTTAACCAGCTAATTCGTATTGCTATCTAGAAAGAAGATAGGGGTATGTAGTGTAACAAACCTTATAATATCTTTATTTTTTCGCAAACTGTTTCTTTCTTTTTTCATGAGATGTATTTCAGAATGAAGTAATTTTATATTTATACTGCAGTTTGCAAATTTTATTTGAAAGAAATTCGGCTGGCAATTTTTGTATGCAGCGTGACAGTTGATCACAGTTTTATTAGTAAGATTATCATCTCTGTCAGTTCAGTAGAAATCTTCATGTTTACCGCATGCAATATTTTAATCCATATTTTACATGATTACAGATTTTCAGTGTAAGTATAGCTGCACCAATGATTCGCCTATAGTAAATATCTAAACAGAATTAATGTGAGAGTCTAAAATGGTTCTTTTTTTAAATTTTACTCTAGACAGTTAATATATGTTTTGAAATTCTTACAAAATAATTCATTAGTAAAATCATGCATCTAATATGTACTACATATGAATGCATACTTACGACAAAAACGATCTTGTATCTGATAAGATTTAATGATTCAAATAAGCAAAATTAAAATCAAAAGTAGAGACAACCAGGGAATTAATTCATGAAAGCGTTTTCTATCTTAGTGGTATTATAGTCTAATGAACCTATTTTTATGTCAAATATAATTATAGAATTATGAAACATGAATGTACATGTATACATTTGAAGAGGGTTTTTTTCCCCGGGCACGAGCACAATAATATTGAATTTTATGGCATCTTGTAATATTAGTTTAAATGTCTGTATAGTTAAATTACGAATATTTAAATACAACTAATATTTTAAAAAAAAATTGATTTAATTTGCTAATATAAAGAAAAAGGAAGACTTCAAAGACGCCGACATTGTTCGAGGTCCACTCTGCCCCGTACGTGTTTTGTGGCCTGTACTGTACCTTTGACCACAGACACAACCAGTTGATCTAATTAATAGCAAATAAGGAATCGTCTCACACTCTGTCTATTTGTTTTAAAGTTGTAGTTTGCTTCGAGTAGTTTCCTTATTTTTACAGTTGAAGGCCAGACGCATGATACTTGATAATGGTGTTTCAAACAGGCAGACACAACCTCCGTCCTTCTTTCACAGGCGCCGTAGCGAGAAATAAACCAAAATGACTTATTTGGTCATTACACGATTCAAAAATCATTGGGGGCGTGGTTTGCATAATTAACCAAAGAACGGTACGGTTCGCTTTGAGAACGGTACGGTACGCTTTGTGGACGGTACGGTACGCTTTGTGAACGGAACGGTTCGCTTTGAGAACGGTACGGTACGCTTTTTGCACGGAACGATTCGCTTTGTGCACGAAACGGTACGCTTTGTGAACGGAACGGTTCGCTTTCTGCACGGAACGGTACACTTTGTTCACGGTACGGTACGCTTTCTGCACGGAATGGTACGGTTCGTTTCTGAGGTGTAGTAGCACGGTTTAGGGTCTGTAATTTTTAAGGTAGTTGTATAAAAACCCCATTCTATCATTAATACTGAAAAAGTTCTTATTGTAACTTTAGAAGAAAATGATGAGAGAGGTACAATTAATCCTTTGGGATTAATTATCTGGCCTGCTGCAGAAAATTTAGCAGGCTTTTCTTTATCTTTAAGATTAATGAAAACCTTTGTCTGCAACTGCAGTTTGTTTGAAGTTAAGGTCAAGCCTTCATGATATTTGCATTCATTGAAGGCTGGCATTCTATATAACACAAGCTTCATAATTGTTTAAATATACATTCAATGTTAAGTTGTTCTTTACTGCCTAATGTAAATACAAGGATATTATTTTCAGGTTTTTAGCTCACCTCAACGAAGTTGGGGGAGCTTATGTAATACCCTCGGCGTCGGCGTCGGTGTCGGCGTTGGCGTCCCAGGTTAAGTTTTTTGGAGCAGTTTTCTTTTTAAGTATTTCTATGTCCTATATTGATTAGACATGCATGGAAGATGCTTCTAATGTGTTTCATTGTACCAGTCAAAGTTTCAGATGCTGCAATTTCAGCAAAGGAATGGCCAGGTTCATGTTTTTGGAGCAGGTTAACATTTTTGGTGCAGTTTTTGGTGCAGGTTTCATTTCCAAGTAACTATAAGCCCTATGTTGACCAAACTTGCATGGTTGATACATCTAAGGATGCATACTACTGGGCTTGCTTTGGATGCTGAATCTGACCTACATTTTCCGGATGAGTGAACAGGTTAAAGTTTTTGGTGCAGGTTTCATTTCCAAGTAACTATAAGCCCTATGTTAACCAAACTTGCATGGATGATACATCTAAGGATGCATATAATCAGGCTTGCTTCGGATGCTGAATCTGACCTACACTTTCCGGTTGAGTGAACAGGTTAAATTTTTTTGTGCAGGTTTCATTTCCAAGTAACTATAAGCCCTATGTTGACCAAACTTGCATGGATGATACATTTAAGGATGCATACTACCGGGCTTGCTTCGGATGCTGAATCTGACCTACATTTTCCGGTTGAGTGAACAGGTTTAATTTTTTTGTGCAGGTTTCATTTCCAAGTAACTATAAGCCCTATGTTGACCAAACTTGTATGGATGATACATTTAAGGATGCATACTACCGGGCTTGCTTCAGATGCTGAATTTGACCTACATTTTCCGGTTGAGTGAACAGGTTAAATTTTTTTGGGCAGGTTTTATTTCCAAGTTACTATAAGCCCTATGTTGACCAAACTTGCATGGATGATATGTCTAAGGATGCATACTACTGGGCTTGCTTCGGATGCTGAATCTGACCTACATTTTCCGGTTGAGTGATAAGGTTAAAGTTTTTGGTGCAGGTTTCATTTCCAAGTAACTATAAGCCCTATGTTGACCAAACTTGCATCGATGATACATCTAAGGATGCATACTATCAGGCTTGCTTCGAATGCTGAATCTGATCTACAATGTACATTTTCCGGTTGAGTGAACAGGTTAAAGTTTTTGATGCATAATTCATTTCCAAGTAACTATGACTTCTTTTATGACCAAACTTGCACGGATGATACATCTAAGGATGCATACTACCGGGCTTGCTTCAGATGCTGAATCTGACCTACATTTTCTGGTTGAGTGATAAGGTTAAAGTTTTTGGTGCAGGTTTCATTTCCAAGTAACTATAAGCCCTATGTTGACCAAACTTGCATGGATGATACATCTAAGGATGCATACTATCAGGCTTGTTTCGGATGCTGAATCTGACCTACATTTTGTGGATGAGTGAAAATGTTAGTTTGTGCTGAATGTATCATTTCCAATTAACTATGAGCCCTATAATGAGCAAACTTGCATGGACGATACATCTTAGGATGCACACTAATGGACTTACTTTGGATGCTGAATTCGACATACATTTTTTCAGATAATAGACCAGGTAAAAGTTATGGGTGCAGGTCAATTACCAAAAAACTTGAAGGCTTATATAACATTGTATAAACCAAACCAAACTTGCACAAATGTTGCATCAGGAGATGAAAACTCTCAAATTTGCTTCAGATGCTTAATTTTAATTACATTTTCATGAACAACTAGTTTAAATTTTTTATGTAGGTCTATTTCAATGTATTCAATTGCTTAAATATTTTCATTTCTGGAATGTACACTTTTTGTTGGTTAATTGTGTGACTTTGCCTTACTTAAAGACAACATTCGTTGAGGTGAGCTCTGTAATCTCTGATTACCTATGTTTGAATATCCAGGAATTATCTTGAATTTTAAGAATACAGTTGCTGTTGCTTATTCTTCGTACATTTTTTAATCATTCCGTAAGCTGCACCCTTTTAATTCTACCCCATGGTGGGGCCCTTGCTGACTGGTCAGTTTTCTAGTTCAACTGATACTTCTTGGGTAGACGATGTGTCGCGCACAAAAAGTAGGTCGCTCTGACCTTTAATAAAGATGCTATGGCCAAATATGTCTGGCTCATAACTAGAAAACTATTAGACCCAGAGCTTTCAAACTTGGCAAAAGTATACATCTAAGATAGAAGGTGTGTCGCGGCCTATTTCAAGGTCACTGTGCCCTTTAATTTAAGTGAATTTTTTTAAAAAAAACTAAGTCTTTTAAATTTTAAATTTCATAATCCTAAAAAATGTAAAAATATAGTTGTATCCTTATTAAAAAATGTTAAATTAAGTAAAAACTTATTTTTTCATAATATATTTTCAGCAATCTGTAACAAATGTTAATGTTTTGAGAGGAATTCAGTTTGTCCCATGGGCATAATTATCAAAGCACTGGTCAAGATGAATTTTGATAGCAAAAATTCGCATGTCAAATTAGAGAGAAATTAATGAGTTTATTGTCAGGAGCTAACTGGCATCTCCGATCATGCAGCTGTTATCTTAATTTATCTATTGGGAGTTGGGCAAAAAGAAATGGCCTCATAGTTGCTTGTGTTAATTAAGAGTTCTTGATGGCTATAGTCCAGATAAAGATCTTTCAATTGGTGTAATGTAATTAAAACAAATTGATGTTTTAGTGTATGATTAAAACTGAATTAGTATTTTGTTTTTATAAATTTGCAACAAATTGCAGTCATGTCTCACTTTAGAATTTTATAGTCTAAAGAATAATTTATTTTTGATTTTTTTTTTTTTGTTAGACTGTAGCATTTCCATTATTTCATAAAATATGCAACAAACAATTTAAAGCTGCAGATGGATATTTGTTAAGCTCTTACACAGTCAGTTTAGAATTATATGATGTATTATTTGTTATAATTAATCCCTACACTGTAAGTCTCTTAGAGATGTATGTACAATAATTTAAAATGATAAGAAATGGAAATTAGATCATTGAAATCTGTGTCAATCTGTTAATTAAGGTTACCTGATTTTCTTGCACCCTAACCAAATTATGATTATTGAACAATATTTGACGGGCGTATCATGCTGTGGCGGGGCACTTTATTTGCATTAAGGAAGAAGGAAATGAAATCCAAGATTTTCTCTGGATATGTTATCTTTTAATCTACTGGAAATAAGTAATCATATACATATTTTACTTTTGTCAATTTTTCAGAACCTGAAACCATCAGCAAGTCAAAGATATAGAATGAATAAAGAAATATTTGCCAGAAATAACGTAAGATACATTTATAAACCATGTACACATTTGTCTGTGGTTTTAAACTTGTTGAAATGTAAAGGCTAAATGTTCTTGTCTGTTTTTTAGCCTGGTTTTAAATATGAATGTAGCTTAGATAAGTAACGGTTCATAGAAAATTTGAGTTCTGAGACATGTGGTCTTTACCTTATCCAAGTAATGACAATATTACTTTAATACTTGGATAAGGATCATGGCTGCATTCATTTGCTCCTTTTGTTTAGTTACATTGTGAAGTATTAGTCAAGTTCTGACAGTTCTAGTATCGTTTACTTTATCTGTATAAATGAATTTGATATAATTATTTGTCTCTTATTTTATAGACTGGTGTGAGTCTCAGTGATCGTTTTGCCTCAGAATCAGATGGAGACAGACGCGTTTATCTGTAGAAAAATTTATCCAGTCTCTAAGTCGGGAAATTACATGACAAAACATGGAGGAAGTGGACTTCCTATTTTAAACTTGGTGAAGCCGGAAGGAATGAGACAGTAGTGATATTGACTTGGTGCTCTGCAACGCATGCACACTGTGAGGTTGTTTGATTAAAATTCTTTGGCCATTGTTCATTTCAAGATTTTTCTTTCAGGCATATCAAACTTAATGTCATTTATTCATGTTCATTCGAAAATCAGTTTTCTACTGTATTAATTTTAAGTCTGATATATGATTAATGAATTTCACAATCATATTTTTTTTTTATTTTTAAAGACAAAATTGGAAGGACAAACAGATGACTGTGTCATATTTTATATGTGTTAATGTTATGATATTCTGATACAGTGATATACATGTATCTTGATATGTTTATGAGACAACATATAGAGTACCATTTTAAACACAATGCTTCAGATCTTTTTAAGTTTTACAACCAATATTAAACTGGATTTTTTTTAGATATGGTGCTTTTATGGACACTGATGGATTTTGAAACATGAAAGTGGTCAATTTTTTTTACAAGTTTTCAATAATGGCTTACTATTTTTTGGAGGAAACAATATGCCTCCTTCAGGATAGCATAGGTGTGGTGTAATTTTGTCGAGGAAAGGTTATTTTATATGATACAATTTGTTTGAAAGAAACAAATTCAAACTTTTTATATGTCTTATTTAACAAAAAGCAATAATTTAGTTTAAACTAAAATTGACTTGAAGATTGACTAGACTGAAATGACTGTTAATTATTATTCTATTTACTGTTAGTCTTCAAGAATCATATTTTTTTTTATCAAGATGTATCATAAGCAATGTTTGCTAAGCATCTAAGTATCTTATAAAGAAAGTATGTGATTAACAAAAATACAAAGGTCTGATTCAGTCACTTAAACATTTATCAAATGACAGAATTCTTTTTATTATTAAAAAAAATTTTGACTTTAGAAAGTAGCTAATATTATCTTACTTCATTACTTCAAAAACATTTTACATTTCAGCAGCTAAAAGTATTTTACTTAATTACTTCATTAAATATTTTACATTTTCATGAAAACCATTTATTTTTTATGTTTTATGTCATAACAATTCTTTAGTACAAGAAAAATGGTGTTTCTGTATGAATGTAGTTTGTAGACCACCATTAGCAAACAGTGTTAGTTTAGTGAGGGAAATATGCAAGGTTGTAAAAGCTTACAAAACAATTATGATGTAATGTGTGTAGAAAAGGGTTTCATAGATATATTGGTCTAGGTTTTATCTAAAGAACATCAAATACCAGAGATATGTCAAAGGGAATCTCCAGTCTTGATTTTAGCTTCCATATTATATACTGAAGGATTTCATGTAAAAAAAAAATTGGTTAGGTACATACTGCTATTGGTTGAAGTTGACAATCTTTTGAAGTGAATTGATTTCCACTATTTACATATTCTGTTAGATGTTCTTTTCTTTTTGATGTTCTTTTGTTGAGATAATAGATGTCATGGGACAAGGATGAAGTCAGTGGATAGCAGAGTTGTGTGCCTTTTATATACATTTCAATGCATACATGTAATTAACTATTTTAGACTAAGTTGTATATATCAAAAAGTATGTAGTACATGTACCTGTAGTTGAAAATGGGGAAATCATTACCATTCATTAAATCTTTAAAAGCTTTGTATGTATGATGAAGACATTTGCCTTTCCATCAGTTGAATGAGTGAGATGACTAACTGCATCTGGCATTGAAATAGTATGCATGTAAAAAGTTTTATAGTTCATAAGTTGTTTTACTAAAAAGGGAATTAAATTTAGAATTTTATACCTCTGTGGTTTATTAGTTCTAGAACTTGATAAAAAAATATTGGTTGACAGCATACCGATGCATAAAAACAAAAGAGGGTTGGTTCACTCTATGTTCACAATAAAAATAATTTACAATTATATTCATTGGTTATATATGCCTTGGAAAAAGTATTCTACATTAAAAACTGCAGACTCATATTTTTATGCCCCCCTTCGAAGAAGGGAGGGCATATTGCTTTGCTGCTGTCTGTCGGTCGGTCTGTCGGTCCACTTTGTTTCTGTTCATTTTCTTCGCAACCGTTGCACATACTGAAGTGAAATTTGGTATACAGATATATCACATGAATATCTAGGTCAAGTTCTGTTTCAAGATCGCACCATTTTTGACAGAGTTATGCCCCTTGGACTCGGAAAAATTTCAATTATTTGCAGTTTCCGTTCATTTTCTTCGCAACCATTGCACATACTGAAATGAAATTTAGCGTACAGATTTATCAGAGGTATATGTAGGTCGTGTTCTGTTTTGGGTACAATTGCACCATTTTTGACAGAGTTATGTCCCTTGGACTTAGAAAAATTCCAATTAATTGCAGTTTCCATTCATTTTGATTGCAGAGGTTGCACATACTGAGATAAAATTTGGTATACAGATTTATCAGATAAATATCTTGGTCAGCTTCTGTTTTGGGTACAATCGCCCCATTTTTGACAGAGTTATGCCCTTTTGGATTTAGAAACATTCCAATTTGGGGGGAGGGGGGCATAAGTATTTTACAAACATCTCTTGTTTTTTAAAAATATATAGCTCTACAGAGTGCATTTATGAATACAGGAAAATTAATTTGAAACAAGATGTGTTTGTTAAACACTGATGCCTGGTATGGCAGCTTATAGTGAGGGATAAAAATTGCTCAAATGCAAGTCAAACTCCAAGGTCAAAATTGCTGGTAATCCAAATGAATGTCTTGTCACAAGGAATACACCTGTGAAATATGAAAGCCTTAGATCCATTAATGTTTTTTAAAAAGTGGGTCAAAATTTAAGGTCAAAAATATTTATACCTTTAAAGGTCATGTCACAATGAATACACATTTGAAGTGTGAAAGCCCAAGTACCAAATATTCAAAAGTTATGGCCAAGGTTTAAATTTGGAAAATTTTGGTTAAAGCGTATCAAATCCAGGGCCAAGAAATCAAATTATCCTTAGAAATTTATTGTCACAAGGAAAACATCTGTGAAATATGAAAGTCATGGTCCCATGCATTCAAAAGTTATTGGCATGGTTAAAGTTAATGTGGACAGACAGACAGGACAAAGAATATATACTCCCCAATTTTTTAAACATGGGCATAAAATAGCTCTCCTCTGTTCTAAGAAATTTTGATGAGTTCACATATTTAAAAAAAAAACTGTTTCAAGGCATTTCCAAATTGTGAATCCAAGATTTCATTATTGATTGATTGATTGTATGTTGTTTTAGGTCCCAATCCAGAGTTTTTCACTCATATAGATATATATCCGCTATGCTCCATTCAAACAACCCTACGCTGACTCCTCTACGTTTAATTCAAACAATCTTTGGCTCATCCCTCTACGCTCCATTCAAACAATCCTCGACTGACTGGCTACGTCCCATTCAAGCAATCCTCAACTGACTCTTCTACTCTCCATTAAAATAATCCTCGAATGAAACTGCTATGCTCTATTTAAATGGTAATAATCTGCTGACTCCGCTACGCTTCATTCAAAGAATCCTTGGTTGATTCCGCTAAGCTGCATTCAAACAATCTTCGACTGACTCGTTACGTCCCATTCAAGCAATCCTCGGCTGACTCCTCTACGATTTATGGATTTAAACAATCCTCTTCTGACTCCGGTACGTTCAGTTAAAACAATCCTCCACTGAATTTGCTATGCTCTATTTAAGGGCAATAATCTGCTGACTCCGCTACGCTTATTCAAACAATCCTCCGCTAACTCTGCTACGCTCCATTTAAACAATCCTCTTCTGACTCTTCTACGTTCAGTTAAAACAATCCTTGACTGAATCTGCTATGCTCTATTTAAACGGCAATAATCTGCTGACTCCGCTACACTTCATTCATATAATCCTCGTCTGACTTCGCTACGTTCAGTTAAAACAATCATCGACTGTCTCTGCTATGCTCTTTTCAAACGGCAATTATCGGCTGACTCCGTTACGCTTCATTCAAACAATCCTCGACTGACTACCTACGCTCCATTCAAACAATCTTCAACTTACTCCGCTACGCTCCATTCAAACAATCAGACAGACTCCTCTGCATTCTTTTCAAACGTCAATCTTTGGTTTTTCCTGCTACGCTACATTCCATAAACAATACTAGACTGACTCTGCTACGCTCCATCCAAACAATCCTCGACTGACTCCGCTACGCTTCATTCAAACAATTCCCGGCTGCATGATTCCGCTATGCTCCATTCAAACAACCCTAGGCTGACTCCTCTACGTTCAATTCAAACAATCTTTGGCTCATCCCTCTAGGCTCCATTAAAACAATCCTCGACTAAATCTACTAATAGATGCTCTGTTCAAATGGTAATAATCTGCTGACTCCGCTACGCTTCATTCAAAGAATCCTTGGTTGATTCCGCGAAGCTCCATTCAAACAATCTTCCACTGACTCATTACGTCCCATTCAAGCAAACCTCGGCTGACTCTTCTACTCTCCATGAAAACAATCCTCGACTGACTCCGCGACTGTCTCTGCCATGCTCTAGTCAAACGGCAATCCTCGGATGACTCCGTTTCGCTCCATTCAAAGAATCCTTAGATGATTCCACCACGCTCCATTCAAACAATCCCCGGCTGCATAACTCCGCTACGCTCCAATCAAACAACCCTAGGCTTACTCCTCTACGTTCAATTCAAACAATCTTTGGCTCATCCCTCTATGCTCCATTCAAACAATCCTCGACTGACTCGCTACGTCCCATTCAAGCAATCCTCAACTGACTCTTCTACTCTCCATTAAAACAATCCTCGGATGAATCTGCTATGCTCTATTTAAACAGAAATAATCTGCTGACTCCGCTACGCTTCATTCAAAGAATCTTTGATTCATCCCCTCTACGCTCTATTCAAACAATTATCGACTGACTCCGCTACACTCCATTCAAACAATCCTCAACTGACTCTTCTACGCTCCATTCAAACAATCCTCGACTGACTCGCTACGTCCCATTCAAGCAATCATCGATTGTCTCTGCTATGCTCTATTCAAACGGCAATCCTCGTCTGACTCCGGTACTTTCAGTTAAAACAATCATCGACTGTCTCTGCTATTGGCTGACTGCACTCTATTCAAACAATCCTTGGCAATCATCGGCTGACTCCGACTACACTCTATTCAAACAATCCTTCCATTCAAACAATCCTCGACTGACTCGCTACGTCCCATGCAAGCAATCATCGATTTCAAACGGCAATCCTCGTCTGACTCCGGTACGTTCAGGTAAAACAATCATCGACTGTCTCTGCTATGCTCTATTCAAACGGCAATCATCGGCTGACTCCGTTACACTCTATTCAAACAATCCTTGGTTATTTCCGCTAAGCTCCATTCCAGCAATCCTCAGCCCACTCCTCTAGGTTCGATTCAAACAATCCTTGGCTGACTCTGCTCCTTTTCATTCAAACAATCCTTGGCTGACTCCTCTACGTTCAATTCAAAGAATCCTCGGCTGACTCCGAACAATCCTTGGTTCCAAAAAATTGACACCTTTGCATTAAACATGCAATACAACCATATTATGAAGTACGGTATTCACATAAAATACTGTTCAGTTCGTTTAATAACAGGGATCATATTATTTTTTTGGCTCAATATTTATTTGAAATACAGAAAACTGGTAAATAAATTAATACAAAAAAGAGTATATAAAGCTTTCTTCTCATCACAGATATTTGTGTTTATGTATATTTAAGGTAGGATTCTTCTCTGGTTTCTGACTAGATGAAATATTCACAGTACATTTGCTTACTAGTATATGTCTTATATACTAGTATTTAGGTGTAAGAGATTTAAAAAATCATATTTTTCTTTCCTCATCACAATTGTACAACTTTAAATAGAAATGGAAAACCGCGTTTGAAAACTAGCAGGGACATATTTTTGGCGGAATGATGAGGTATGAAAATATCTTCTTTTCTGCCTCTCAAAATTATTATAGAATAATGAATTTAGTTATATTTTTCCACAATCAAAGACTTGAAGAACTTCTCAAATGTAAGTTTAATCAATATAAAAAAAACATAAGTTGCTAAATATATAAAATAAATATTTTTCAAACAAACTAAACTATGTTAGCTTTTATAAGTTTCCAATCTGAGAACAGATTTGAGCCAAAAAGTATTTTTTTCTCTCTTAGTAAACGATAAAGACTTTTTGTTTTTGTATCATTTTGTATCTTTATGTGACAACTTTACCATATGTGAAAATGAGAAAAATTTAAATATAGAAGCATTATAAATAAAAATAATTAAGATATCCTTAGAAAATAAGAAAAGTAGAGAAAATTCGGATTAGCCAATATCCACTTTCGTTAAATCATTCACGTAAATTTGGTAACATCATCTTATAGGCCCTTTATGGCAGTATCTTTCTATGCAAAAGGAAAAAAATCAATCTTTTGCAATACAAGTAAGGATCGCTTAATTGGCAACAGTATTTTTTTTTATTAATGTCCAGGTAAAATGTATTGACCTTAACCTGTTCTTGTCTCAAATATATAACGGTCAAATTTTATTTCACTGATACCATCTTTTAGGGATATTGTCTTCTTGATTCTGTGAAAATTTTCATTAATTTTTAAATGCAAGAAGTATGAGAAAAATCTTACCTTTTAATTTGAATTGACGACGTTATTTTGTAACAATTTCGCGGGGTATATAATATTAGGCACCGTTTTGGTATATACTGGCAAAAACATCGTCGCAAACCACGGCCTAGTCCGAAATATCTGACGTTTTCTAGG